ACTATAAATATAATACTAGTAAATACTACTATAAATATAATACTTGTAAATACTACTACAAATATACTACATGTAAATACCACTACAATTATAATACTAGTAAATACTACCATAAATATAATACTAGCAAATGCTACTAAAAATATACTACTAGTAAATACCACTACAAATATAATATTAGGAAAAACTACTATACATATAATACTAGTCAATACTACAATAAATATAATACTAGTAAATACCACTACAAATATATTACTACTATATACTACTATAAATATAATACTAGAAAATACTACTATAAATATACTACTAGTAAATACCACTACAAGTATAATATTAGTAAATAATAATTAACATATAATACTAGTCAATACTACAATAAATATAATACTAGTGAATACTACTATATATATAATACTAGTAAATACTACTACAAATATACTGCTAGTAAATACTACTATAAATATAATACTAGCAATTACTACTATATATATAATACTAGTAAATACCACTACAATTATAATACTAGTAGATACTACTATAAATATAATACTAGCAAACACTGCTATAAATATAATACTAGTAAATACTATTACAAATATAATACTAGTAAATACCACTATAAATATAATACTAGCAAATAGTACTATAAATATACTACTAGTAAATACCACTACAAATATAATACTAGCAAATACTACTATAAATATAATACTCGCAAATACTACTATAAATATAATACTAGTAAATACCACTATAAATATAATACTAGTAAATACCACTACAAATATAATACTAGTAAATACTACTATGATATAATGCTAGTAAATAGTACTATAAATATAATACTAGCAAATACCACTACAAATATAATACTAGTAAATACTACTATAAATATAGTACTAGCAAGTACTACTATAAATATAATATTAGTAAATACTACTATAAATATATAACCAGTGAAAACTACTATGATATAGTACTAGTAAATACTACTATATATATAATACTAGTAAATATTACTATAAATTTCATATTAGTAAATGCTACTATGATATAATACTAGTAAATACTACAATAAAAATAATACTAGCAAATACTAAAATACATATAATACTAGTAAATGCTACTATAAATATAATACTAGTAAATACTACTATGATATAATACTAGTAAATACTACTATATATATAATACTAGCAAATACTACTATAAACATAATACTAGTAAATACTACTATGATACTATACTAATAATACTACTATAAATATTATACTAGTATATACTTCTATGATATAATACTAGTAAATTCTACTATGATACAATACTAGTAAATATTACTATAAATATAATACTAGCAGATACTACTATAAATACAATAATAGTAATTACTACTATGATACAATACTAGTAAATACTACTATGATATAATACTAGCAAATACTACTATAAATATAATATTAGTAAATACAACTATAAATATAATACTAGTAAATACTACTATAAATATAATACTATTAATTACTACTATAAATATAATACTTGTAAATACTACTATGATATATTACTAGTAAATACTACTATAAATATAATACTAGCAAATTCTACTGTACATATAATACTATTAAATACTACTATGATATAATTCTAGTAAATACTACTATAAATATAATACTAGCAAATACTACTATACATATAATACTAGTAAATACTACTATAAATATAATACTAGTAAATACCACTACAAATACAATACTAGTAAATACTACTCTAAATATATTACTAGCAGATACTAATATAAATATAATACTAGTAAATACTACTACGATATAGTACTAGTAAATACTACTACGATATTATACTAGTAAATACTACTATATATATAGTACTAGTAAATACTACTATAAATATAATACTAGCAAATACTACTATAAATATAACATTAGCAAATACTACTATACATATAATACTAGTAAATGCTACTATAAAAATAATACTGATAAATACTAGTAAATGCTACTATAAAAATATTACTAGTAAATACTACTGTCATATAATACTAGTAAATACTACTATGATATAATACTAAAACATACTACTATGATATAGTACTAGTAAATACTACTAAAAATATAATACTAGTAAATACTACTATGATATAATACTATTTAATACTATTATGATATAATACTAGTAAAAACTACTATAAAAATAATACTATTAAATACTTCTATAAATATAATGCTAGTAAATACAACTATGATATAAAACTAGTAAATACTACTATAAATATAATACTAGCAAACACTACTATACATATAATACTAGTAAATACTACTATAAATATATTGCTAGTAAATACTACTATAAGTATAATACTAGCAAATACTACTATGATTTAATACTAGTAAATACTACTTTTTTTATAATACTAGTAAATACGACTATAAATATAAATACTACTATAAATATAATACTATTAAATACTACTATGATATAGTACTAGTAAATACTATGATGTAATACTAATAAATACTACTATAAATATAAAACTAATAAATACTACCATAAATATTCTACTAGTAAAGACTACTATAAATATAGTACTAGTAAATACTACTATAAATATAATACTAGTAAATACTACTATACATATGATACTAGTAAATACTACCATAAATATAGTACTAGTTAATGCTACTATAAATATAATACTAATCTATACTACTATAAATATACTACTAGTAAATACTACTATAAATCTAATACTAGTAAATACTACTATACATTTGATAATAGTATATACTACTATAAATATAGTTCTAGTAAATACTACTATAAAAATAGTACTAGTAAATACTACTATGATATAATACTAGTAAATACTACTATAAATATAATACTAGCAAATACTACTAAAAATATGATACTAGTATATACTACCATAAATATAGTACTAGTATATACTACTATAAAAATAATACTAGTAAATACTACTATGGTATAATACTAACAAATACTACCATAAATATACTACTAGTAAACACTACTATAAATATAGTGCTAGTAAGTACTACTATAAATATAATACTGGTAAATACTATTTTATAATCATACACAATGTCTCTCAATGAAATTTCAATTGTCAGTCCTACTGCGCGAGCCGTGTTCCCAGGAAAATGTTCGTCAGTGATTTAATTGTTTTATTCGTGCACAATCGAGCGAATATTCTTATCCACCGTGAGTGTCAAAGGCGTCGATTGCACGTGTTGGTTTCTATGGGTTTAATACCGCACATATAGCAGTGTAAGTCCATTAAGTTGGAAACTTGGATAACACTATTACGTATGCCATTGGAAGTTGTGCCGTTCGACATTTGAGGACGTCATTGCATCCTTTTGTATGCAGATGCCTATGCACTATACACACATATGTACACATGCACATACACGAATACATGCATTATTTATTTATATACATACATATATATATATATATATATATATATGTGTGTGTGTGTGTGAGTGAGTGAGTGTGTGTGTGTGTGTATGTGTATGTGTGTGTAAATATAAAAATGTTAATCGAGAAAACAATAAAGAGAGAACAATAAATGCTAGATAACAAAATTTGCAATATGAAAACAATCATAGCAGTCATGCGGAGTGAGCTAAGGTTTACACATCGCTTGCATTTTTTTATACGTTTTCCCTCGGTACAGTATGTATTCATGAACACCGCTTTATTTTTTGCTTTTTATTAGCAGTATTGCAATTCATCAAATTGTCTGCTTCTTTCCCTGTGTATTTATGCATTTTGCTTTAAAGTGCTTTTGGCAGTCTGAGAGATCCATCGACACAAACTGTGCACTTTGAACGCCATTTGCAAGCCTTCCCACGCGTTTCAAACCATGTCTGCAACTTCTCTTCATTATGGGTTGGTATTGGCTTGTGTTTATTTTGACGTGAAGTTCAAAGGTCTGTTGGACGATTCTGGTACATATCTGAAACAACGAACTGATCGAATATGACAGTTTCAGAAATAACCTGTCGTATATCACGATATCAATAACTAAAAGTTTATAAGTCCCAGAGGATGTGTCATGGTGTGCGTATACGTCTTGTGTCGATATCTAAAATTATGTGTAAGTGTACATATAACATATATTTACAATATATATATATATATATATATATATGACGTGAATATCTATATATATATAAATGTATGTGTGCATGTACGTGTATGTATATATATATATATATATATATATATATATATATTGTGTGAGTGAGTGTGTGTGCATGTGTGTGTGTGTGTGTTTACATACATATATGAACACGGACCCAAACACATACAAATACAAATATATACATATATACAAATATATGTATATATATATAGATACATATACATACATACATAC